ACCTCTCCATCCAGCAGGTCCTTACCAGACAGCTGAGGTTCTAGCGCCTTGCTGCTGAATCCAGGAGGAAACAGGTCCAGCGCCCCCTCAAAGCCCTCCTCCTCCTCCACACACTTCTCATAAATGAGGCTGGGGTCTGGGAGGAGAGAAGCAGCCATCAGACCAGTAGACCCCCCCCCCTCCCCCTGTGGGGTGAGCTGATGGTCATGGAGGTGAGGTTAAAGGTCATCTGTTAGCGGCTGCTCTTACGATTGCACAGCTTCTTGAGCGAGGTGATGGAGGACAGCGAGGAGACACTGATCTTCCCTTCCTGGAGCTTCTCTGTGGGCTTGGCCTGCTTCAGGAAGCGCCTGTAGAGCTCCGTCTGCAGAGGAGTCAGCCTGAACACAGGAAGCTTCCATCAGAACGCTGGAGGAAGGATTCCTGGGAATCCTCCCAGAAGGAGAGAACACCTCCAGCAGGTGGATCCGTAACCTACCAACCTCTGAGATCACCTCATCCTCCAACTGATTTATAAACCATCAGAAACACCTTTTATTCCCAGGTAGAGCAGAAAGGAGCCACCTCACCTGCAGCAGACCACCTGCTCGATCTTCACAGGGAGATACTTGGAGAGGATGTCAGACGTCCTCCTGATCAGACACCTGTGGAGAAGCACCAGCTCAGTGTGAGACGGGATGGAAGCTCAGCTCTGAGCCAACATCTCACCACATGGTGACCATGATGCTAACACTGCCTTCCTGTGGTCAGGGGTCCCTTCTTTAACCCCCCATCCAGCAGCCGCAGCGCAGAGTCTTTCTGCACACAAGGCCCCAGTTTTAGCCGTTTGGTTCCTTTAAGGCAGGCGTCCCCAAAGTGGGTCCCTGAGGGCCGCTGACCTGCAGGTTTTGGAGCTTTCCTCCTCCAGCAAAGCTGAGTTTTATTAAAAACTGATTAACAGGCTGAGCTAAAGCAGAGAAACCAAATACCAGTTTTAGTCCGTGAGGCAGACACCCTGTCTACTTTTAAGGCTAGGCTTAAAACTTTCCTTTTTGATAAAGCTTCTAGTTAGAGTGGCTCANCTTCACTTCCGGGTGGTGACGTATAGTGACGTAGGTGGCTCCGAGTTCCACCTGAGAAACACAAACTGGAAACTTTTCCCCTCATTGTAAACAGAAGAGGATTATGGCCACTGAAAAAATAAAAAAGTTAACTTATTTTTAATATTATTTCCGTTTAATATTGCAAATAATATTAAATATGAGAATTCTGACTTTTTTTCTCAGAATTCTCACTTTAATCTCAGAATTCTGACTTTTTTTTCTCAAAATTCTGACTTTAATCTCAGAGTTCTGACTTTAATTTCAGAATTCTGACTTAATTCTCTAAATTTTGGAACTTAAAGTAGAAGGTCACCATGAAGGGAGAGATGTGGGAGCACTCAGCTTCACCGACAAAGATGTGAGTTGTTTGGGAGGGCCATTGGTGGAAAATTATGGGATTAGGCAACTTTTTACGTGCCCCAGGGGTCCCGGGATACATAATGGAGGAGCTTAATGGAGGAGCAGAAGGTGATTAAAACAAGAGAGCTGGTTTAGTCTTTAAAACAGACATGGCTACGGCTTGATGCTAACATGTTTGTTAGCTGTCAGAATTCAGTAAGAATTCTGAGAAAAAAGTCAGCATTGATAAATGCTGACAACGTTCCTCTTTGCCCGGCTCCTAATTGTCATTTACCTCATCCACCTGCCGTTCTCCCTTATATGGGGCTCCGTTCCAGCTATCGGGGCCCGATCATTGTTTGCTATCTGTTTGTTTATGCCTGTTAGTATGTCTGTTTAATTAGGTTAGTTTATTCCATGGTTCGTGTCCTGGTTCCTGGCAGCCAGCGGATTAAGAGGGTTTTTGTGTTAATCTTTTATTTTATTTTCATTTGTATACACAGAGTGTATACAAGAGTGTTTGTTTTCAGTTTGATGCGAATCTGTGACATGATTTAGAGTTTTTTTGACATTCTGATGGCAGTGGGGTAGAAGCTGTTGCAGAATCTGCTGGACCTGCATCGAATGCTGCAAAGTCCCTTCCCAAAGGGCAGCAGGGAGAACAGTCCATGGTTGGGTTGTGAGGGGTCATTTATGATGTTACGGGCTCAGGAGATGCAGCGCTGAGATGAAATGTCTTTAATGGAGAGAAGAGGAACGCTGATGATCCTCTCTGCTGTTCTTACCACTCTTCTCACCGTGAACAGCAGGGGGCACAGGATGCCACCCTGAGGGGAACCTGTGCTTAGGGTGATGACATCAGAGGTGTTCTGTCCAACCCGGACTGACTGAGGTCCGGACTTACTTCTGGATCTGTCTTTCAGTTCTGGTTTACAGTCAGTCAGCAGTCGGTCTTTGTTACCACCTGCAGCTGCTCAAAAGTTCCTTGAAGCTGTTCTTGTTTGTTCTGCTGTTGAATTGTCCCCGTCCCACTGAACAAGAACATCGGGTTTACTTCCTGACCTACCTGGGAGGAGGGCAGAGTCAGGCCTCTGAAATGAGAAATCAGTTCTCACTGCGGTCCAGACCAGAAGTGTTGTGCATCATGTGATGCAATATGAGCATTTGGTAAAGATTGCATGTGGAGCGATAAGAAAATATTGCTCCATATGCCTACGGGAATCCTACCCTGTCTGGAAAAATAGCTTACTGCTGTATAAGAGGACCCTTTATAAAGCAGGAGCAGCATATTTCTCCTCATTAATAGAGGAGAACAAGAATAATCTTGGATATTTTTAATACAGTTGCCAAACTCACCCAGAGCCATAGCTCTGTTGAACCATCCATTCCACCTGCTTTTAGCAGTAATGATTTTATAGGATTCTTTAGATTGATCTTATTAAAATTAAGATCATTAGCACTTCTCTATCTACGATTGGTTTATCTCTGGAGGGTGGGGCAGCATCTGAGGTAGTCCTGGAATCTGAACCGGGTTTAGACTGCTTTGATCCAGTTGAATTTTCAGAGTTCGCAATACTATTGTCTTCATCTAAGCCTTCAACTTGTTTGTTAGATCCAGTTCCAACCAGGTTATTTAAGGAGGTTTGATCTCCTCCATTTTAGATGTGGTTAATCTATCTCTGTTCCAGGGATATGTACCAAAGGCTTTTAAGGTTGCAGTAATTAAACCTCTAGGAATTAAAGGAACATAGGTCTAAACTGGTTTAAATCGTATTTATCGGATTGATTTCAGTTTGTTTACATTATAACAAATCTTCCTCACGCTCAAAGGTACCCTGTGGAGTACCACAGGGATCAGTGCTAGGACCAATTCTGTTTACTTTATACATGCTCCCAATCGGTAGAATTATTAGACAGCATGGGATTAATTTCCACTGTTATGCTGATGATACCCAGCTATATCTGTCTATAAATCCAGATGAAGCTAACCCATTACATAGATTACAGGCATGTCTGAAGACATAAAAACCTGGATGACTCTTAACTTTCTGCTTCTGAAAGCAGACAAAACAGAAGTTATAGTCTTTGGACCAGAGTCTTTAGAAAAGAAGCTGATTAGTCAGTCACTTCATTTGGATGGGTTTAAACTGATTTCAGATAATAAAGTAAAAAATCTTGGTGC